AAAAACACGCCTCTTGCTTTTCCAGTGTGCAACAGGTTCTTCCAGGGGGGAAAAAGAGGGTGTGGAATGTGCTGTCAGGTTCCCTGCTGGCTCTAATCAAAGATGTGATGACACGTGGTTTTCTGGCCGATTAGATCTCCCGGTCTTTACACGCACACACTCACACGTCCGTGTACTCAATCACTTCTTTGTTATGGTTGACAGATTCAAGAGACCATGGTAGTAAAGAGTTTTTTTGAACCCTTGGTGAATGGAGTTTCCCTTAAAATTTGGAGCATGGATTGAAATTCAGCATAGAATGTGAGTTTTATCAGTACTTAGATTCTACATTGTTTGCTGTGTGACACGTTTTTTTTGGTTGGATGGATGGATTATCGCGAAATCTGAAGGTCCCTAAAAGATCACATTACCCAATTCTACTGACTTTGCTGTTTTATGAGTTTTCCGCCATCAGCAGGTCAAAGTTTTAAATACTTCAACATGTTAGCAGTGCATTTGCATTCAGCTCAAAGCACCACTGTGCCAAAGTAGAGCCTCACGGGCTCCGCTAGCATGTCTGGAGACTCTTTCTCTTGTTTCTGTAAAAATAAAAACCTTGAATATGTTACCAACTTTTAGAAATATGTACAAAGCTTATTTTCCAACACTGTCAATAGATTTAACTTTGCTGAATTTTGAAAGACAAACAACAGACATTTCCATCAGTTCAAAGGGTTTGTTCCCCCCAAAAATGACCCTTTTTCCTTATTAAGGATGACTCTTCCTCGTGTCTCAAAAGAGACATTCCGCACTATTAATATTCATTCTGCTATTGGAGTGCATTGTTGTCATAACACCACTGACAGATGTGTATTCATTAAACTCAAGACCACAGAGACACACTGTATGCCACAATGATGCTTTTTAATAATTAACGCAACTCAATTTACACCTGAATTTATTTATACCCTTTATTCTCAGCTGAGGGGTAGAGTTGGTCTCCCGGTTGGTGGAGCAGCAGATACCATCCCATCAAATTAATTTTAATAATAGAAGGCTCTCATTAAGACCCAATCAGACATGAAGACATTCTGAGTGGAATTGGATGCCCTGAATTGACCAGAGAGTCATACATTATTGACGCGGAAACCGTTCTTATTAGATCAGCAATTTTCAACCTGGTGAATCTGTAGCCGACTGTCTGATTCTTTCACAAACATACACTTGTGCCCACTTTTAAAGGCATCTGATTTGTGCATGGAGAATATTGCTAGAATCGATCACTCCCAAACTCATTTTCATAGCATAACAGCTACAGACAAATGAGGCCATTGAGGTTGAAAATTGGATTATTCTATATGGTGCTTTTTATTTGCACAATTTAGCTTGAAATGTGCAGTGGTGGATAATGGCACAGGTTAGGGGCCTCAATCAAAGGAGGTAGCACTGCCTCACTCTACGCAATTACTGTTCTGACTGTGGAGAGGTGCAGATATTGCAGAATCCTACCAGTCAGATATCAACTTGGATAGTGTTACAGGCGTACTTGAAAGACTATGTCCAAATTTGTTTGAGTTCTGCTTGTCCTATCTTAAACAGCCAATTGTTTTCACTTTTGTAAACCTATGTCGTGTGTGTTTTTGTGTGTATGTGTGTGTATAGTGAGTGACATGATTGTGAGTCAATTACACCAGTCACCCAGTCGCCCTCCTGCCATTCCCAATCAGAATCTAGCCAGAGCGATAACAGGTGTCTTTGATCCTCTCGAGTTGACATGATCGCGAATCCAGCTTGGCACCATGGTATTAAATGAGAGATTATAACTGTGATCACAGTGTTTGCTTGCATGACTATTGTGTGAACACAAACAGCTTAAACGCAATGAGAATTTAGTCATAGTTCAATTTTATGGAGAGATGATCATAGCAATATCACTGTTAAAACAGCAGTTAGAAAGTGCTTTATAGAGGAAAAGACAAGGTCATAAAAGAAAAAGCCATAGCAAACAAGTGAGTACCAAGATATATATATTTTTAAATATTTGCACATTGAACGTACTTATTATCATCTATCAGTATATATGTGGTAGTACTTGTACACACACACACACCTCAAACAGGGAATCATGAGTACTTGGACTAACTTCTGTGTTCGCCACTGTCCTTTTTTCCACACAGGCACACACATTTTAATTGGACGCAAAACAAATTCAAACCACTTGTAAATTAGGGATTATGACTGTTCCTTTGCCCGTCTGTCTGGATTTCCTCATCTCGCCCCTCTCTGACACACTCCCAGATGCATACAGAAACGCGTTGGTCCCAGGAGACGTCGGAGTGTGTTAAAGAAGGCATCACCATCATCATTCTTTCCCTGCCTAAATCTCGGCACGGCCGGAATTCATCACAGGATCAAACCCGTTTCTCATCAAACCCAGGAAGGTGTAGCTAATGCAATTTCACTAAGTCACTGCCTGACTTGATTACATGTGGGCTGGGGAGCGCATGCTAGGGCACCACAGGGGGGTGTCACTGTGTGAGTATGTGTGAACATATGGTTTCTAGGTAGTTTAGGCTGATGCATTTGTTTTAGGCTCTCTACACTACTCACACTACTCGAGTGTGTGTTGTGTGTTTAAAGCGGTATCTGTACCTGTCTCTTTGTACCCCTGTAGTCCACGGATTTTTTTGCTTGATAGAAGTTGTGTGTCATGTCTGATTAGTTGTGTGTGTGTGTTGCAGACAGAGCAGTGGCTCTCGAGGGGGATTTCAGGCAGATTTGGACACATTAGAATGTGTCACTTCTTCCTCTCCAGCTTTCGGTTGCCGTCCCACTGAGCACCACACCTCCACACACCCCTCCCACTAATCCTGGATCAGACCACACACCGAGGGACACAAATGCACAGACACTCATTCAAACAACACTAACGAATACTCAAGCACACATACAAGCTCTCACAAACAAAATTACACTTTTGCACATTATGTCGAGAGAGGGCTGGCAGCAGTTTGGTGGCATCCTGACCTGAGACCGGAGCCACCCTGTCACGTCTAGACAACTCTGAAGAATCCCATGCATATTAATGCCGGCCTATTTAATATTCATCAGTGCTATGCCCTGTTGGCAGCTGGTCCCAGACCCCATGGATCAATGAGGTCTCTTCCTCGCTCCTTTGTCTGACACTGATGCAGATGTTTAGAGCATGAAATTAAATTGGTCACTGTCATTGGGAACACATACATGGTAGTGAATTTGGCGTGTGTTTGTGTGTAGTTGCCGGTTAGATGTGGCTCTTGGAGCAGATAGGTAATGCTAACTTCCCCAGAGTCTGTGACATGTTGATGTTATTCATGGGAACTTGAGTGTTTGCAAGTTGTTGACGAGGAAACAAAAGTTTAGCCAGCTCTTTCTGCGTCGATGATCAGAGGGAGACAGAGAACGTGAGGAAGAGAGAGAGAGGACGAGCAAGAGAGTGCGTTGACGGCAGCTTTGTTTAGGAACCTGTAATTGAGTCGTAATTGAATTGGCACCAAAGGAAGGATGAATGGATGGAGAAAGGGAGAGTTTGAATGAATTGAACCTCATCTCTGTCTCCACTTAGCAACGCAAATGTGGGCTTACCATGCGGGCGAATTTCATGGCAACAGATCAGAATCAGAAACCCTTGATTTAAAAGTTTTGGATGGAATGAAAGCTTCCCTTGTCATTTTAATGAAAATACGGATAGTGTTGTCTCACATACTTTTCAAATGAAACTTGTTCCATTAGAAATGTATTATGGAGCCTGGCGCAGGGAACAATGGGGTTGATATGCATTTGAATGCAAGGCTAGGCAGGCTGCGCAGGTAATGCGGAACAGGCTTTCGCACTATGGCGAAGTGACTTTGTGTTATATCACACAAGCTTTGCAAGACCATATTGGACATGGAAATGAAACAGAAGAAAACAGCAGAGCAGGGCTTTGTGCCAAACTGAATCTCACCATTTCGTAACACACATGCACACCACACCCATACCAATTTCAAAACCATATCAGTGTTGCTTGGATCACCATCTTGTTTTATTTTGTTGTGTTTGCATTTAACTTGACCCTTCTTACAGAGCCCTAAAATGTTAACCGCACACTGAGCACCATAGGACTTAATTATACAGAAATCCTTTCGAATAGCATTTTCCCCACAGTATAAAGGCAGGGAATGCTGCTCGCTGCTCTCCGCCTCCTATTCTTATTCATCAACTTATCCCAATTTGTATAAACAAAAATGCAAACATGTGTGCATGCATTCATGCGTGGTATTCTTTCAAAACATTTAGACTCGCACGCACATACACGCACTAAGACACTCACTATATTGACAGGGAGCTGCAATTTCTTCTCCATCAGTTATATTGATTACTTCAGGATGAGTGGAGGTAATGAGCATCGGTGTTCTTTCTCTGTTCTGCCCCCCCCCCCCCCCCCCCCCCAATGCTTTCTGAGCATGTTACATGGCAATGATTTTCTGATTAACCCTGTTAGCTGTGGGGTTTACCCACACGGTGACGCAGGGGCATGGAGGAGTGTGAGCATGTGAGGTGCTTTTAGATTTGTGATGGTGAGCTGCACTGATTGAGTGATGTGTTTATTAGGGCTGAAGGTGTACTCCTGTACTGATTGAATATTGAAATTTTTCAAAATGTTTTTGAATAAAATAAGATTTAAATGAAATATCTTGATTAATGGAGGGAACAATGATGTTGTTCCAGGGAAATCAGAGTTCATGGTCACCTACAGAGCACAACTCTAGGGTTTGGTTGGGATTTTGTGTGTTGTTAAAGGATACAGTCAGAATAATTGAATCAGGATGGGCCAGTTGAAAGCAGTTCTTCAGAACCACCTGAATCTTCTAAATGCCATCCTAAATATGATTTGTATCCATTTTACATACTCTGCAGTTTAAGCATCCCCTGCAGCAACACTACTCTGTATAGATGTCTGTTTTGACATGTTTGGTTAAGTCCTTCCTTCTGTGTTCTAGGTGGCGCTGATGACAACCTAATTGAGGGGGGAGAAATGAAGTTTGTGTGTAAACCGGGAGCGAGGAACATCACTGTGATCTTCCAGCCTCTTCTCGGGTACAGCACTAACTGATACACTGAACACCCTGCCAAAAATTTTGAATGTGGTTTCAAGATGTGTCTTTAATTCACCAACATGAAACAGAAAGAACTCTATAGTCACTCATCTGCAATGAGACACTGATGACTTTAAGAGTAAGAGCTGAAGTGGTGTACTAGTGTGATGACTGCGGACTGAGCGGAGTCACAAGGTACAGTAAGTGAAGAGATAAGCAAATGATAGCTTCAAACAAGATCTTTACTGTTAATTTGACTGTATTTTGCTTGGGAAGAATGAATAGGATGCCAGTAATCAATCAAGGCAATCTTATGCTGGTATTATGTGGACAGAACCTGCTGTCTTTACTGGTTTGGGCAGGGTACCTTTACTTTAACAAGACACGTGTGAAAGGGCGACAAGTGTCATACTGGTCTGTCTGAGAGGCATGGCCAAGCCACTCAAGATGTATAAAGGCTGGGACATGACTCAATACCAGTAAAATGTAAACTAATTCTATTAAATGGCCTCTTAGTGACCGTGTATCGATTTCAACCTTTTTAATGTTTAGTAGGACATCGTAAATCAAACATGATGTAATATACTGTTCCTTCAGTTCAGAATGTTTTGTTGATACCATCCAGGAATTGGGATCGACTACCGCCCTCGCTTTTATTTCCTATTAAATTTGAGTATTGTGAGGGTTGTCTTTGTGGTAATGTTCTGTATATCTGGTAGTTTTCTATACAGCACTGTGGTCCCAAGCGAGCAGTGTAAATCTAATAGTGAAGCAATTTAATTGAATTGGCCTCAATGCAGTGATACATTACCTTCTAGGATCCATTACACTGAGATGTTTCCTTCTTCCACACTATGGTGCTTGGCATACATTTCTACAGTTTTAACATCACAGAGCATGTTTTTTAATGCATATAGCCAGGATAATTGTGCCTTTTTAGCAAACACTTTGTTTATTCCTTCAATTTGTTTAAAGTTGGCAGGTTAAGAGATAGTTTGACTGTAAAAATATCTTGAATACTCAGCCAGTGGAGAGCTATAGCTTCACCGAGGCCATCTGGGTTGTAACTGTATAATGAGGTAGTTTAAAAAACAAAAACAAACTTACAGTCAGTGAATTCAGACAAACTTGACAAAAAGCCAGTACAGACGGGGCAAAACAGATGTCTCTTTAGATTTTGTTCAAGTATACTGGCAATTCAGTTAAGTGTATACCCCTGACCATTAACCAGACTGACTACTAAACAATATGGAATCACAGAAAATCTGCCAGTTAACTTTGTTAAGCTAGACTGCACTTCATCTATCAGATCTGTTTAGTGCATCCCCACTAACCTAAGCTGTAAAGTCAGTGATCATGTTAGCTTGTGTTTGATTGATTGATGCTGAAAGAAAATTACTAGTTTCAGAGACTAAGGACTATTTTTGAATGTCTGTGTTGAAGTACTTTAATGTATTTCTTTGCAAGTGGTTGCCTGTGTGTTTTATGTCCCTTTACCAATGCTTTGGCCTTGAGTCTTTCTCTAACTTCCTCTCTTAAACACTTGCCTTCTCTCTCTGACAAACACAGACACACGCTGACGTTCAACCCTTGTTCACTGGGGGTCTGGCCAAGCTTTTGTCTGAACAAATGACGAAAAATAAAACGGTGACTAGCTTTCTGCCAACCTCTCCCATGTTGCCTCTAATGGTTCATATCAATCACACCAAACTGCCTTGCACACAGGGCACTCTCTTCTCTCTCTCACCCTCCCTCCAACCTGCCCTCTCTAGACTTCTAGTGCCAATGGAGCGCTGTTTCTTGCAGATGGTTTTCTAATGGCAAAGCTCTGGCACTCTGCTGATGGATCACTACACCTCCTGCAGCCAGCCATGCAGCTCATGGCAGCTTTAATGACAGAAGCAGGTGGGGGTTGCAGCACATGAAATCAGTGGTGTGTGTGGCACTGTGTGGGCATATGAGACAGCAGTGTCTTAATGTTTAATTGTACTTTAAATAATGTTGAACCTTAAGATTCACAAAGAGCAATGTGGAGCTCATCCTCAGGTCTGTATTTACACAGTAAGATTAGTGGGTTAGCCAGCTATTATTAGGCTTGACTTACATGTTCCAGTATCACAAAGCTGGGTCACTTTTAATTGGGGTAGATCACCATGATATGCTGCATGGCTAACCTGCTCCAGAAAGGGTTAATTTAAGAGAATCCGATCAAAATGTGTCAACAGTCCACATAATGACCAATCAGTTCACTTAAAGAGCTTATATAAAAATTCCCACACTTATTTATAGCCTTAGCCCTACTTTAATGTTTGGAATTTATTGAGATATAAAAGTAGGGGTAAGGTTCTTCTTCTATTCTACTTGTGTAGTTTATATTTTATCATTTTTCTCACTGGATATCACTTTCTGCTGGTGCATTAACCTAATTTCCCTGCGGGTATTACCATTTCATCTTATGTTACATTAAGTACTCATGGTTCAGATGATGTTGCATCTGATATCATTGTAATTAAGAACATACACTTACCGGCCACTTTATTAGGTGCACCTGGTCCATTTGCTCGTTAACACTAATAGCTAATCGGCCAATCACATGGCAGCAACTCAATGCATTTAGGCATGTAGGCGTGGTCAAGAAAACTTCTGAAGTTTAAACTGAGCATCAGAATGGGGAAGAAAGGGGATTTAAGTGACTTTAAACGTGGCATGGTTGTTGGTGCCAGACAAGCTGGTCTGAGTATTTCAGAAACTGCTGATCTACTGGGATTTTCACGCACACCCATCTTTAGGGTTTACAGAGAGTGGTTCGAAAAAGAGAAAATATCCAGTGAGTGTCAGTTGTGAAAGAAAGGCAAGAGTAACTCAAATAACCACTCGTTAAAACCATGGTATGCAGAATACCTAAGAATATCTAAGAACCCACAACACGTCGAACCTTGAAGCAGTTGGGCTACAGCAGCAGAAGACCACACCGGGTGCCACTCCTGTCAGCTAAGAACAGGAAACTGAGACTACAATTCGCACAGGCTCACCCAAATTGGACAATAGAAGATTGGATGAACGTTGCCTGGTCTGATGAGTCTCAGTTTCAGCTGCGACGTTCAGATGGTCAGAATTTGGCATAAACAACATGAAAGCATGGATCTATCCTGCAATGCAGACTGGTGGTGTAGGTGTAATGGTGTGGGGGATATTTTCTTTGCACACTTTGGGCCCCTTAGTACCAATTGAGCATTGTTTAAACGTGACAGCCTACCTAAGTATTGTTGCTGACCATGTCCATCCCTTCATGACTACAGTGTACCCATCTTCTGATGGCTACTTCCAGCAGTATAATGCACCATGTCACAAGCTCAAACTGGTTTCTTGAACATGAAAATGAGTTCACTGTACTCAAATGGCCTCCGCAGTCACCAGATCTCAAACCGATAGAGCACCTTTGGGATGTGGTGGAATGGGAGATTCACATTCATGGATGTGCAGCCGACAAATCTGCATCAACTGCTTGATGCTATCGTGTCAGTATGGACCAAAGTCTCTGAGGAATGTTCAACACCTTGTTGAAAGTGTGCCACGAAGGATTAAGGCAGTTCTGAATGCAAAAGGGGCACTAGCAAGGTATACATAATAAAGTGGCTGTAATGCTTAATGAAGCCAAGTAATGTGAGACAGCAGTGGTGCAGCTCTTTGCTCATGCAAAATTTTCTGCAGTAAAAGTGCATTTGGGCATAGGGCTCCACCAAGTTTGTGCCTTGTTACCTATTCTGTTTTGGACAGAATGTCTAGAAGCATCTGAAGAGTGAGCAGCATTGCATATCTGCTTCTCTGATCCAGAATAGGCTGGAGGGATTATATATCCCACCTGGTCTTGGGCGGCCTCAGGCTCCTCCAGGAAGAGCTGGAAGAGGTGGCTGGGGAAGAGGACATCTGGGCTAGCATGCCTACCGTAGCCTGCTGCCACTACAACCTAGTCCTGGCTAAAGGCCAGAAAATGGATGCATTATAATGAGAAGGGGATGCGGAGCGGTCTCTTCTAATGTACTTATTGCTGATGTTTGCCAGTCTGTCTATATTTATATTGCCCCAGGGCATATGCCTTTCTAAAGCAATCGCAAATAATATGTTTCTAGGTTTACCTTCTATTTACTTCATTTTATGAAGTAGACACAATTACTCATTGCCGTATATCAAACCTCAGATCAATAGCTAAGTATCAAATGTGCATGTGCCTACCGATTGTCTGTGTAATTTATTCTGTATGTCACCACCAGTGAATGCTGGATCTGTACATGTAAGTTATTATTGGTGTCTTTGGTTACATCTCCTCTAGAGGGGACAGTATGACCTCAAAACTGATAAAACATTATCCCTCTTGGAATAACGGTCAGGTCTGATTTAGCCTCAGCAGTGTTAGGGCTTGTCGTAAGTGAGTGAATGAGATTGGTTCTGCCCTCACAAGTGTAGCAATCCAACCTGATGTGTCAGAGCGTAGAATGTATGTCTTTAAAGACAAGCACACAAATATGGGGCAGACATAAGGGAGTGTTTGTGCATGTAGCAGCCAATTTAGTTTGACTTGTGGGGTCTCCTGTTGACATTTGGGTGGTATTTACACCCCTTGCTCTGGACGAGGTTGGCATTTTGAAAAGCTTCGGCGGGCTCCTAATCTCTCCCTGTTCACCATCCACAGGATGACCAGGCATGACTGTGCATGTCTGCTTGTGTTTGTGTGGCAGCGTGTGTTTTCTGTGTGTGCAGGTAAAGCCTAAAGTCCAGCAGAGTTACCATTTCTGAATTAATTATTAAGTATAATTTTATCTTCTTTAATGACTCAAAATCATGAATATGCTCGCTGAAGGGCTTTATGTTATAGTAACATACTCACGCTTGGCTAATTTCCTTTCTAACTGACTTCATTTTGCATTTAATCTCGCTGCTTTCTAATTACTAGTTCTGGCTCCAAATTGATTTTTGGCCTCAACTTTAAAGTGACCCGAGGGC